AGTATTTACTTCTGGGTTGAATTCACTCGGATGTGCCGAAATCCATTCATATTGGATACATATTAAACATGTGGCGCACAGTAAAATTTAAATCGGACGAAAATGTATATGGGAGCATCGAAATCTGAACCGATTGTCAGATATACTTCTAGACTGAATTCGGACTGACTGATTCGGATTGATATTACGCATTTGGTGCACAATACTTATGAAATCGGATGACACTATGTATGGGTGCTATATCCATAGATTTTCAATTGGATGATTCTTTCTCTTTTTATAAGGTAAATTATTTTCTTTGTATCAAATGGCATTATCCTCTTAGTCATAAGACTGACGTTGCAGAAAAGCGAAAAAGAGACATAAATAAAATTGGTCGTTTAGTATCGTGTTTTCGATCATCTATGTTACTCTTCAGACTTATCAACATCCAGCACGTATATTCGAATCCTTATATTGTAAATTTGTTAAATTAAGCTGTTTAACTACTATAAAAAGTATAGTATAATAATAAATATATAGAGTGCAAAAGGCACGTCAAACCCCATTAGCGTTGCTATATTCTCAAACAAATTCTCTCCAATATTCATAATTGGAACAAGTAAAAAAGCATAAAGTTCGGCTGGGCCGAACTTTGAATACCCTCCACCATTTGGAACGAATTAGGAAATTAAAAATACCGTATATCGGCTGATATATGGGGCGATATACGATATTGTGTACCTATGAAGACAATTCTCTTTCAGAGGGTAAAGTACACACAAGGAACTCCTTGTGTCGAATTTCAGACAATTCCATCGAAAAGTGTGACTAAAATCATCAAAATACCGAATATCGGCGGGTACCGTTATATGGGAACTATATCAAACCGTGGACGGATATATATCATTTTCAATACCAACCATCCTAGACACAATACAATATTTCTGCTAAATTTTGAAGCTCTACGTCATATGATTTCAACTGACAGATGGACAGACGAATGGACATCTTTAAATCGACTTAGAATTTTATGCTGATTATGAATATATATATACTTTATGGGGTCTTCGACGAATATTTAGGCATGTTACAAACGGAATGACAAAGTTAATACACCCTTCTTTCTAAGGTGGAGGGTATGATAACGTGCAACCTTTGGAACATGTATTACTTCACTATTTTTTAATATTATCATTATCATTAATTTTTGAGTAATTTTATTAAAATTCCAACTTAATTCTTGTATTTTCCTTTACAATGCTATTAATTTATTAAAACATTTTCTAGTACTAAAGTTGTACTCAGTAACGCCGACGGGTGCGAAAACGCACCACCACCTGCACGAGCAAGGGGTAGAGATAGGGGGCTGAATTTTTGTGGGCGGAATGTGAGTGACATTAGGGCATCCTCCACTAAGTTTCAACATTTTTCTCGCACTAATAAGAGAGCCGGCGTTAATGGGTTAAGATATAAAAACCTGAAAATAAGAGCTTATATATTTTCGGAATCCTAACAGACATGTCACAAGAACGAATTCGGTATGAAAGTGATTTTAATTTCGTATTTAGCTCTTCAGAAAATGTTAATCGCAAAATTTTTTTGATTGGAAACTACTTTTGTTTTTGCTTTGTTTTTTTTAACACTCTCAAAACACTTTAATAAAAATGTTGTCTGAATGACAAATACACAATAAAATTTACATTTTTAATCTTTTTATTTAAAATATTTTCAATTTTTAATGGTTTCTCAATTGAAGCCAATTGTCAACAAAGTGTTGCCACATAATTTTTTCTTCAAAAACCCTTTTTTCGTCAAACAAAAATTATTCATCTGTGAAAACCAAACAATGTGGTATTACGAATAATAAACGGAAGCAAAGAGAACAAGTAACGAACATTTGGAACGAATTAGAAAATATTCAAAAAAATAAAATCCATTGAAAATTCTGTTAAAATCTTTAAAATACCTAATATCGGAAAGTGCCGATATATGGGGGGATATACGCTATTGTGGACCTATATAGACAAATCTATGTCTGGCGGTAAAGTACTCACAAGGAACTCCTTGTGTGGATTTTCACATAATTCCATTGGGAAATGTGGCTAAAATCACCAAAATCCCGAATATCGGGGTACCGTTATATGGGGGCTATACGATATCGTTAACCTATATAGAGAACTCTATGTCAGGGCGTAAAGTGCTCACAAAGAATCCCTTGTGTGAAATTTCAGACAATTCCGTTGAAAAATGTGGCTGAAATCATCAAAATACCGAATATAGGGGTGTACCGTTATATGGGGGATATACGATATTGTGGACCTATATAGACAATTCCGTTTCAGGGGTAAAGTGCTCACAAAGAACTTGTGTGAATTATCAGACAATTCCGTTGGAAAATGTGGGTAAAATCATCAAAATACCGAATATAGGGGTGTACCGTTATATGGGGGATATACGATATTGTGGACCTATATAGACAATTCCGTTTCAGGGGTAAAGTGCTCACAAAGCGTGTGTGGATTTTCAGACAATACGATTGGAAAATGTGGCTAAAATCATCAAAATACCGAATATCGCGGGGTACCGTTGTATGGGGGCTATACGTTATCGTTAACCTATATAGAGTCTGTCTGTCGGGAGGTAAAGTGCTCACAAAGAACCCCTTGTGTACAAAGAACCCCTTGTGACCATTCCGTTGAAAAATATGGCTAAAAACACCAAAATACCGAATATCGGGGGTACCGTTATATAAGGGCTATCGTGGAGCTATATAGATAATTCTCTGTCGAGGTAGAAAGTACCCACAAGGAACTCATTGTGTGGATTTTCAGACAATTCCGATAAAAAATGTGGGTAAAATCATCAAAATACCGAATATCGGGGGGTACCGTTATATGGGGGATATACGATATCGTGGACCTGTATAGACAATTCTCTCTCAGGGGGTGAAGTACTCACAAGGAACTACTTGTGTGGATTTTAAGACAATTCCATTGAAAAATGTGGCTAACACCATCAAAATACCGAATATCGGGGGGTACAGTTATATGGGGGATATACGATATCGTGGACCTATATAGACAATTCTTTTTGAGGGGTAAAATGCCCACAAGGGACTCCTTTTGTGGAATTTCAGACAATTCCATTGAAAAATGTGGATAAAATCATCAAAATACCAAATATCGGGGGTACCGTTATATGGGGGCTATACGATATCGTGGACCTGTATAGACAATTCTCTCTCAGGGGGTAAAGTACTCACAAGGAACTACTTGTGTGGATTTTAAGACAATTCCATTGAAAAATGTGGCTAACATCATAAACATACCGAATACCGGGGGGTACAGTTATAGCATTTTCAGATTAAATGAAACCTTTTGCAATTCAAATAAAACTTTTTGCAGCGGGAATGAAACCTTTTGCAGTGGAATTGAAACCTTTTCCAGTGGAAATGAAACCTTTTGCAGTGGAAATGAAACCTTTTGCAGCGGGAATGAAACCTTTTGCAACCGAAATGAAACCTTTTGCAACCGAAATTAAACTTTTTGCAAATCAAATGAAAATTTTAGATTTTTAGAAGGAAAAATAATAAAACATTTTTATTTTTAGGAGGTTTAAAATTAAATCAACTAATTACTACTAATATATAGTTAAAGAGGAATTTTTATTGATTATTAATATCTATGTTTTTTATAAATTTTTTTCTTAAAGCTTCCATAAAACACAAGTGTAGGTGCAGAAAGATTGAAAAAAGTTTTTAAAGGTATTTTTTCAAAGGACCCGAACTAGGTGCCTTTTTATAATCTCCTCCATGGAAAGGAGGATATATTAAATTTGTCATTCGGTTTGTAACACCTCTAGATATTCGTCGTAGACCCCATAAAGTATATACAATCATGATCATAGTTGATTTAATGATTTCCACTTATCTGTCTATTGAAATCACGACTGCTCTATCTCCATAATCAATAAAGCTGCGAAGCGGGAATCCTTTATTAGGTAAGATTAATAGTATACTATAACTATAAAAAATTGTGGTAAAGCTTAATTTCACATTTCAGTCCTGGCCATACCTATAAAGGCCAAAATTTGTTTAAATTTCTCTTTTTAGCGTTAAGCATTTGGAATTTAATAATATGGAAGCATTTTATATCAAATCAATAAAGAACCGTTTGTTATTACAATAATTGAAAATTTAAGAAATAATATAAATAAATGTAGATATTTATAATCAATAAAAAATCCTCTTTGTCAATATCTTAGTTGTAATTAATTGATTTAATTTAAAAACTACTAAAAATAAAAATGTTTTGTTATTTTTCCTTCTATAAATTTAAAAGTTTCATTTGATTTGCAAAACGTTTCATTTCGGTTGCAAAAGGTTTCATTTCCGCTGCAAAAGGTTTCATTTCCACTGCAAAAGGTTTCATTTCCACTGCAAAAAGTTTCATTTGAATTGCAAAAGCTTTCAATTAATCTGAAAATGCTATATATGGGGGATATACGATATCGTGGACCTATATAGACAATTCTTTTTGAGGGGGTAAAATGCGCACAAGGGATTCCTTTTGTGGAATTTCAGACAATTCCATTGAAAATTGTGGATAAAATCATCAAAATACCAAATATCGGGGGTACCGTTATATGGGGGGCTATACGATATCGTGGACCGATATACCCCATCTTCGAACTTGACCTGCCTGCAGGATCTGTGCAAAATTTTAGCTTCCTATCTTAATTCGTTTAGACTGTAGCGTGATTACAACAGACGGACGGACAGGGCTAAATGGTCTTAGAATTTTGTTTGAAGAAAAAACTAGTTTCAAGAAAAAATCATGGGTCGACACTTTGTGTGTCTTTAATAATTGGCTTCGTCACTTGCAAAAACAAAATTGGTTTCAAACCGAAAAAAATCGTTTTTAATTTTCGGAAGAAGTTAAATACGAAATTAATACCACTTTCGGTCGGAATTCGTTATGGTATAGTAGAAATACTGCCAACCTATTCAAAAAATTAAGTTTGTATTGATTATATTCTTTATTTTGCAATTGAATAGTTAATACTGCATACCATCGCTGTGAAATAAATTGAAAATATAAGCGGTTTTGTAAAAGAATTAATAGCAATTCTTAAAATAGGGCTTTCTCTTATTGATTGTGAGAAACGTTCTTGTGTTGCATGTAAATATTTAATTGTATTAAGGTGAGATAATATAGCTGGATATATGTGTTGATTAATATATAATAAATGAAATACGTAATTCCACAGTTGATACATTAATGTAATTGTTATGCCGTTAGTTTACATTATTCATGTTCACAACACTATGAACCCATTTCCTTCTGAAAATTCAATTAATACGTGCATAACAGAGATTTTTTTATTCTAAAGTTAAACGGCATCAGCTGGACTTTGAAATTCCGACAGTGCATGAATTGGATTCTGGATTTTTTTTTGCGATCCCTTGCGAACTTTTGCACGCACTTCTTCTGGCTTCTCGGGTCTCACTAAAGGTTTTTTTTCTGGCGCCTTCATTTTCCAAACAACGATGGGCGACTAAATATAAACGAGACAAAAAATTATGAGATATTAAAATTGTTATGAAACGAAAATTAATGTAACTGTAAAATAATAAAATGAATGACTTACCGTAACTGTTCCTTGTCTGGTATATTTTGTAGATGCAACGTAAGAGTATTTAACCGTTAACACAACGGCATTCATTAGATTTTTAGCAGCTTGGATTAAAGACGTTGCACTGTCCAACTGCAAAAATTATATGTAATATACAACTATTATATAGAGATACAAGATATGATTTTACTTACCCCCGAAACAATTAATTCACCACTTATGTTTTGCACGTCAGCTTTTACTTTAGATGTTATTTGAATTTGATGACAGTAGAGAGCTATGCGTTGCAAATAAGCCAACAAATCTTTTTTGGTCGAACTCTCTGGGCATTGCTCTGCTATTTCACGTGTTAATTTGTCAAGTTTAGTGCCAGCCTCAGAAATTTTTTTTGCAGCATTTATAACATCCATTGTAGTTTTTAATGGCCCACGACCCCTAAATAATTTATTGTATTGTTGACAATATTAGTAATACATTACAGTGCAATAATAAATGCTATTACCTTGTAAAATCTGTCATTTCCATCATAATCATACACATATGCTTTGCTAAAAATATAATATCATTTCCGGTATCATCCCATTTAGCTACTTCAGAATCAAAAGTTAATTTTTCCCGTCGGAATAGTTCCACTTGTTGGGCAATTTTTTGTTTATCTTCTTCTGTCATTTTCCGCATAGCTTCCTGTAATAGTAATGAATTTCATCAACCCTATTTTACTGCAGAAGTTTTTTTGGTATATGCATTTTTATTTGCAGCTTAGAAATTTTGTGGGCATTTTTGCAATTTCATTGCAATATATAGAAATTATTAAGTACCCATCAAAATGTTCAAATGTGAAAGAAGTTTTGATACGTCTAGAAGTCAACTTTCACGTCAATTTACATGTTTCTAGGAATTGGAAATAATTTGACATTTTTACTACAAACAAGTTATAAAAATATTTTTTTTATTTATAAAAGTAAAGCAAATCGAATATTGAACAGAATGTCTCCTTCAAAGAAGCACGTTCTCAAATAATTCAATTTTATTGTATGTGTAAAACAACAAATTTTAGATTCACTAAAATTAATAAGTTTTCAATATAACTGAATGTCCATAATTTTTGTGTAGCACTGAACAATTTTCACTTAATTCCGAATTCCGAAACCAATCATCGAATAAGTTTGTCAAATATATAGAAAATAAATTACTTACCCTTGCAGTGCAAATTCCGCTTATATCAGGATACTCATCGACTGTTTGGTCAGCGGTGTGTGCGCTAGCTGTAAGAAACGGAAAACATTTTAATCTATTATGTATGTATATACATACACTTACAGCGACTACGTGTTTCCAGAGTCATGTCTTCAACTGGCTCAAATTCAGTATCCGTATCCAAATCTTCAGAGCTCTGAAACCAAAGTATTTTTGATTAGCCCATATTATTTGAATTAACAAAAATATACATATATATAATGTATCTATATATATAAAAGAAAGTTGTGTTAGTTACTACGCTTATAACTCAAGAACCGCTGATCTGATTTTAACGATTGAGACAAATTCGGAATTGTCTCTTGGCAGAAAAGGATAAAATTTTTGAACATTTTCATTTGACTTTTAAAATGTACAATCGTCATGTTTTATACAGCTGATTTTCTTTTCCCATTTTGAATTACTATTTTCGAATGTACATTTGTAACGTTTTTTTGTTTTTGAATTCTAATATGATGTGTAGTCTTTTTGGGTAGTATAAAACGACAACGGAAAAAGCTGTTATTTATAGATTTTATGCATTTATTGGGTAAGTGGAACTATACAAAAAAATTAATATTTTACTATAACGAACGGTTTTTTAAAATTAATTATCTTTTGCAGACGGGTTACATTGAAGTGTAGTACCGAATTATGTGGTGGTAAAACTGAATAGATGATGACAACAAACTCAAAGGATAAAAAATTATGAAAAAAGAAACTGAATCGGGAAAAATTGAGAAAAAAATCGAATTTCAAAATAATAGTATAGCTTGGTAAAGACCTTTAAACATTTGCTTTAAAAATCAGCCAACAAGTTGAAGAATTTTTAGTTTGTTTTTCTTTTTTTTTTGTCAATTTTATATAATGTACTTTTTATTAATTTGGCTTAACATATTGAATTCAGTTGCTTTTTTTTTTTGTGAACAAAAAAATATTTTTACCATATAAAATAAAGTTATGTTTGATACTACGCTCATTACACAAGAACGGCTTGACGGATTTTAACAATTCATACAATTTCGGAATGGTATCTTGCCAAAAATTCTTGTGTATTTTTTCCAATTTGACATACTATATGAAATGTAAATTCTTTTGTTTTGAATTCGGAATGAATTATATTAAAAATGAAATGAGTTCGCAATACGATGTTAAATGGCGATCTTTCATGTACAAAATTGGCATCTACCTTTAAACAAGGACCTACATCGTTCTTCAGCTGGAATGGTATCTTGCCAAAAATTCGAGTGAATTTTTTTCAATTTGACATACTACATTTAAATGTAATTTTTTTTTGTTTTGAATTCTGAATGAATTATATTAAAAATGAAATGAGTTCGCAATACGATGTCAAATGTTATGTACAAAATTGGCATCTAGCTTTAAACCATCGTTCTTCAGGTGGAAGATGCGAACACATTTGAACAAACAAAAATGACCGACAACGCGTGGATCTACTCCTTTCATATTACAATAAACCGTCCAATGAGAAATGTAATGCGAAATGCATTGGGACTGCAATCAGTGAAATAACAAATAAAAAGGGCGCAAAATATACATTTAGTAAGAAAAGGATTTCTATCCTTCCAGAAATTCTTCCTTAACTTTTATAATAATTTCGGCAAATGTTAGTAATTTGAGAAGAAACCATCCTTGCAAAAAATGATCACGTTTTGATACAACCATTATATGATTTAAGCTATTTTCGGGGAATGGAATGTACTGAAACAATTGCAAATTAGGATCAATTGAAAAAGTTACAGAACAATTTGTGGAAGATACCCGCTGGTCCATTCTGTAACTTTTATCAATTGAAAAGTTATTAAAATTTATTTTGTATTGCAAAAAAAAAGACGGTACAAACAAATAACGTTTTTGCAAAATAAACAGTGAGCAAAGTTCTTAAAAAGTTACAGAATAGGGCCTATATAAAGACCTTAAAAATAATATCATATTCAATAAAAATTTTCTACAACCCCTATTGGCTTTGGATTGTGAAAATATGAGAACATTTGCCGCGAAAAAGAGCTAAATGTGACGAAAATGTAAAAAGGTTTTTATAAAACAAAATGGATAATATTTTTTATGGTGCGTATTAAGTACACATTGAAATTTTATGTAGAATATTTCTTCCTTTGGAACTATTCCCGAAAAATAAGTTCTTGGTATGAAATAAGTATTTATGGGATACTGGTTTTTCAATTGTGCAATTGCTTTGAACGTATCATTTGGCTTATTGTTATCAGTAATACTTCCGAAGACGCTATATACTGAAAATAAATGGATTTCTAGGAATCTTAATGCTAAAATTTTAAGCAAGTAAACAAATTAAGTTCCCTCCATTATTGGGTAAAGAAAACATTGTTATATAAAATTATCTGAATTCAAACGTCTTCAACTTTAAACTCTAAATACCAGTAGAAACATTTGGATAAAGCAGATAGTTAAAAAAAAAAAAAACAATAAAGTGGGTGAAGCTTTTAAACAATATTATACTACGAAGATAGTTATCTATTGCGGGTAATGTTATATGTGCGCTATAAGAAAACGTGACCCTAGATATTCAATGTTCTACCACCGAAGCTAGAACCCATTACGAACTATAAATAAAACCCGTGGGTTTGGTTAATTTGCGATGTAAATATTGCAATACCTTTTTTAAGTCTACTTTCATATTTTATTTATGATATTATGGAGATGTTGCTAAAACTACATGCAAATGTCTCTAAGGATTGAGAACATTAATTTCACTTCCTCGAAGGCAATATCCATGTTCTCGTTTCATCACCAACATTTCGGCGATCAGTACTTTTAAAATCGCCTGTGATTTAGTCCATCAGCATTGCTCTAAACATTTTGCATCACTTAGCAACATTGAAAGCGCATTCAGCGAGGGATTTTAAGTGATTTTGTTTCTTTCCTTTCATGTTGCTTTAAGCTTTATTTCAAATAATTATTTTCGATTGGAGTGGCCAAACCAACAACATCACACATAATAATCGTTATAGAAAATGAAAACATAACATGGTTTGGCCCGATAAAAGCTAATCTGGGTCATGTTTTGGATAGGGTGAATATGTAGAAGAATGTTCTCAATATATCAATCAATTGAAATTCATTAATATGCATTGCTAATAAAATCTTAATCTTGAATGTGATTTTAAACCATTATCCTCTATAATGGCCCAGCTTGGGGGACTGTGCAAAGTCACATATACGATTGCAAACTACATAAAATTAATTTCTTATGATCTGAATATTTTGAAAATGAAAAATAAAATATTTATATGTTTTTACTTACTCTATTCATTAACACGGCACGACGTATTTCACGTACACCGTCATATACTAAACGAGATGCATCTATGAATTCATTTTCGTCAACTTCCTTATTTGACTTCGATAATAGAGCATCAACTGCGGTATCAACCCTCTGGTCAAACTTGGGCATAACTGAGTAAATTAAAAGATTGATACTACTATAAAAAATAGTAATGCAAGAAAAATACCTTGATCACGTAAAACTTTTACAGCTTCAAGAACTCGCTTAGTGTAAATACATGGTTCATAATTATCCATTTCAGCTTCGACAACATTGCAGACTCTAGCAGATCTTCCTTGAATAGCTCCAGATGTAACACGTAAAATTTCCGCGTCACCCATTTGCAAAGCCATTACACATTTGTTCACATCTTCGAGAATATGATTTTCAGACACGGCTAAGAAATCATCTATTGTGGTTATGTCATCTACAGCTTCTGTTAAAATCCTCACTTGAACTTCCCATGCTTGACGATAGGCAGTCATATTTTCATGTGCAACTTTCGAATTAGGTCTAACAGTTAAAATCGATGCGGCATTTATAACTTGCGGGCACAAACTTTCAATTTGAGCCGCTGCATATCGCACCATTTTAACCCCATCTTCGTTGCTTGACATACTGCAAACAAGATTAGCAACTTCGACAAGTTTTTCAGCGTGCTTTGTAAAAATTTCAGATTTTTCTCGAACAAGTTTCTCGTTTCCTGTTTTTGCTGCTTCGATCAAATCAATTAAAGGGGTAGTCGTTTCCAAAAATGAATCAGAAACGTGGTCTACCACGGCTTTACGCAACTGTCGTCGCAAGTCCCTAGTTTTTTTGCACATCTGATCAATAGCTCGATCCAGTCCGGGAGAATTATCCTTTTGGCCGACCTTTAAAGTAAAAGTGTAAAGTATAGTGTAATTCAAAAAATTGATGACATAACTGTTACGATTTCCAAAATAAATTAATAGAAACTAATGGATACATTTTATAAAGCAATGAAAATGTCTAATGTCCCTAATTATCACACCATGCTTTAATTTTTTCCTCTTAGAAAACCTTGGATGAAATTATAGAGTACAAGGATTAAAATAATATAAACTGGGAAGGCTTGCTACAAACCTTGAGTAATTTTGACACACCTTTATTCTACTCAACTAATGACGTCAATGATAAATGTTTGTACCTACAGTTAAAAGGAAATTCATTCGTTTGATCATAAATGGATGAGTAGAAGAGAAATTGTATTTGCTCAGTCCCTAAGAGATGCGTCATATAAAGCATTCCAAGAGAATAGCACTGATGAGAATTGGAGTATTTTCAAAAGATATCGCAACAGGGCTAAATCAGTGATGAGAAATGTGCGGCGTCAGTTCTATTCTAGACATTTTAATGGAATGAATTGTAAAGAATTATGGCGGGCTTTAAAAGGGTATACAGGGGTTGTACAGGTGATGAGTGTGCTGATTATGATGTTGATGCGCTGAATAACTTTTTCGCATAAGGTGCTGGTCCTGATGTGGTTGGATTGATTGATGTTGATTACTTTGAATATATTAGTAATTTGCACTCATTTGAGCGTGTAGGAAGCGAGGATGTTGCAATTGCTTTAGGTAAAATTGGGTTGAAGTCAGTTGACGTGGATGAAATACCACTCGAGTTTTTAAAGATTTCGTTTCCTCATATTTCTCACTTGATCTTGGACTTGTTTAACTCGATTATAACTACATCAGTTTTCCCTGTAGCAGACAGCTTTCCAATCCCGAAAACTTCTGCTATACGTTCCTTTAATGATATGCGGCCCATATCAATTTTACCCATCTTATCTAAGGTATTTGAACATATATTAAAGAATCAAATTCTGTCTTTTACCAGGAATAAAATATTTGAATCACAATATGCTTTCCGTGCTGGTCATAATACCACATCTTTGCTGTTGCATCTCACTGAGTCTATCAGAGGCAATATCTATCTAAAGCGTTTAATTCTATATGTTATGCTACTATATACGTAAACTCAGGTATGGCTTTAATTTTCCCAATACAGCATGTAAACTGATTATGGATTATATGAATCATAGGTTTCAATTTGTTAAATTGAATGGTATAAGATCTAGTGTTGCACACCTGATTTTTGTTGTACTACAGGGCTCTGTTTTAGGGTCACTCTTATTTATACTTTATATGATTTCTCTGCGTGTTTGGATCCAACTCTTATGATGCATTTGTATTTGCTGATGGTATTTTTTTATTGTTTAGTGCTAATAAGAGACGTGAGACTATTTTAGAAAATAATATAAATGTGTGTCTTAATTCAATACTCCAATGGACTAGTAGCAATTTGTTGACGATAAATCCTTCGAAAACAAAAGCAATTCGATTTAGTTCCAATGAGATGGTAATAAACATTTTAATTGGACAAACTATGGTACATTTTTTAGATCAGCATAAGTGCTTGGGAGTCATTATTGATAGGAGGCTTAATTTTGACTCATATTGACTCTGTTGCTATTTTCCAACATGGATCAAGTTCAGAATTGCTTATGCGCTCTTAATGCCGTTGGTTTCCTAGGCCTTTAAAGTCATATCTGGAACTGTCCATTATAATATTCTTAAATTAAAATGCATTGTTAACACTATTATCCGATATGTCTATAATATTCGCCGGCGTGATCATGTTTCCCCATTTGTTAAGCAGTTTCTGGGATTGCCTTTCGAACGATATGTTATTAAAACTGGTATACACTTACCTCTGTGCAATATGATTCATTTTACCCGTTCCACAAGAAACGCCCAGATTGTTTTGCCATGGATTTTTAACTCTCAATTTTAGAAGTCTTTTGTAATTCGCGTTGCAAGATGCTGGAACTTCCTACCTCTTGACCTGCGTATTTTTTCGCATTCTAATAATTTGCTTCGTTTAAAGTTATGTAACCATTTAACTACTACTGAATTGTAACTTTGCATAATCTTATCTTTGCTTTATATTTTTCCATTTTTCACTTGTTGTTTCTTCGAATTTTCGCCTATTCTATCATTCTTTATTTAACCAAAAAGTAGTTGCGGCTGGGGAGCCAACAAAATAAAGTATTTTATTATAAAATGAACATATGTATTATTATAGTTAAGATATTTTCTATTTGGTAATATTATTATGAAATGCTATTTTTGGCCTAATGAGGCTTCTGTGTTACAAAATATTGAATAAATAAATAATTAAATAAATAAAATAGAAAATGCTATAATAGCATGTTTACATGACATAATAGTTATCAATACTTTGATGTAAACAAAATGAATAATATATATTCAGATTCAAATATAGGTATATAGTTTCGAAGAATAAACTACTTACACTGAATTAAATCACTCTATTAGATAAACTTAATTGATAATTGATGTTACAAGTAATAATGTTTTTTTTTTAATAAACTTATTTGTGAACAAATTTAGAAGAAACTTGCGGAGATATGGTTGTAGGTAATAAACAAGATATATTGTACAGTCATTTTACAAGACACCTGCCTCGAATGCTTCAAACCCATGAAATTGATGAAATACAATAAACAGACCACAAAATCTTAAAATAATGAGTTATTTTGACAGACATGAAGTTATGATCTACAAATCAAAAATGGTTTCATATTATATATATTTATATTTTAACTTTTTTAGAAATTAAGGATTTTCAATAATGGATCACAAAAAAATATCCATTATTGAAAATTGTAATTTGAATTAGCTTTATCGATTTAAAGAAGTAAAGAGAATGGTATATGGTGATGATACCCCTACGTCTTACTAATGAAGCACTTAAAGTATAAAGTCGGTAAACACCGACTAGCCCATCTTCTAAAGGCAGGGCCGATAAATTCCATATTCACGTCAGATCTCCGATTGGGAGACATATTTAGAAAATTGATGAGAAGTATGAAAGGAATCGTTTACTTGTTTCGCAAGTAATGACCCTTAGGTCGGGAGTTACCAGAAAGGGTAGACCGGATGTGATGCTTATTTTCCATTAAACCTTCTGGTTATTAACAGTTTTAGTCCCTTTGTGGGGGAGATGCCAGGAGGAGCGGACCGATATATTCCATATTCACACAAGATCATGAGTTGGTAGAAATATTGCGATGCGCCGAGTTTGAAAGGCTTTGGATGCTTATGTCGCGTTTTATGAGCTTCATTGTTATCCAAATTTTTGACCCGTTGTGGGGGAGGTACCAGAAGGAGTGGTCCGCTTTTGCGGTTCTTTATACAGATTTTGCGGTTCTTGACAATATAGGAGTAGTCCTATATTGTCAATTTTCGTACCTGAGATAGCACTGATAAAAATATTAGGATTTGCAAAGTTATATCGATGAGCCAAGTTTTGGCCGTATCAAATGATATATAACCTCTGAAGCCATATTGTTGTGGTATAAAAACCCTAAATTCATAGAGGCGTTTTATGCAATGCCGAGCAGTAAACGGCACAAAAAACTGAGATATTGCACATAAATACGAGGACATCAATCTATAAGAAAAAATAATTTATTTACAACTTACAGAGCAGAAGCGTATGATCTACAGAATCAAAAATCTTCGACAAATGAAGGTCATGAACCGCGGTTTAACAACCACGCCGAAACTGAAAACTACTTTAACATTTAAGCAGAAACTCAACAATACCCAACTTTATAAGATGCTCAACTATCTTTGGCAGTGTTCTAATTGGGCGTAGATTTCATAATCCACATAAAAAAATGAAAAAATCAGCCGGTATTGATGGAATAAGCAACGAAAGCTTGAAAATGTTGTCAAAGAATGGAGTCAATCATCACAAGCATATTCAATGTTTGTTTAAAACTGTTACATTTTCCAAATTAATAGAATTTTTCAAAGACCACCCCAATACATACAATAAGCAAATCGTACGATTATTAAAAATCATATAGAAATATTATTTAATTGTGATCTGTTGAAGAGATATATGAAACAATTGTCATGTTAAAATAGTAGAAGATACCTTTTATTGTAGAGAAATTATTTTAAGTAGTAATATATAATAAGATATATAGTTTGAGAATGTAACGTATTTTGAGATTTTAAGACAGCGTTAAACAGAAGAAGCCAACCTGACAACACGAGTAGATTTTATTTCTGAATAATTTTTCTTAATAAAAGTTTATGTGTTTCATTTTATTTAAACTGTCATTGTACTACATTTGGGTCCAGGGATCTCTGAATAATCTTCAATTGTTCACTTGACATTTTTCTCAGAAGTGGAATACGGATCATCTTGTTTAAGAAGCGTCTACCAAGAATAGATGGAAAATTTGCACAAGTGCACGGTAAAGCAATTACAAGCAAAATGCAGAGTAATTGGTGTTTCTTTGGGTGATTTACTAACTTTTATATCAACGGAATTAATGATCAAGGATTGAAACAGAAAATTTCCAATGATTATATTACCTGCAATCAAGTGACATCAACTCATACTGTAGCTACAACGTGGTAAGAATAGTGCTGATACCAATAATGAATAAGCCGAAACGTAGCAATGTCGACATCACAGTTTCAGAGAACCAAGGCGATGACAAGGCGAATAAGTTCAAATGATTTTTATTGTGGTGTTGCTGGCCATAGAGCAGTTGACTGTCCAGAGTCACAGAAGATGAATAGGTGCACGATATGCAAACGGACTTTACACGGTGCAAGTGAATGTCAAAAAAAAACACCAAATGCGACTGTAAACAAAATTAAGGACAACGGAAAGTCTAACGAAATATTACTAAAACTGGTCAAACGATAGAAGCATTCATAGATTCTGCAAGCGATCGCTGTCTGATCCGAAGAAGCTTTGTAACGAAAATTGGCGAAACGGAAAAGTGCAATGTTGTTTTAAATGG